CCCCCCCCCCAAAGTTTGGTTTAAGCCCCCCCAACTCTGGTCGAAATGCCTCCGCCCCACCCCGACGAGGAGAAGTTTCATAGCCCCAACTTTCCGCTTAGCCCCCTCATTGATGAAAACCTGGCTACGCCACTGGCTGCGATCCGCCCTCGCCGGATGCACGAGATCCTCCTACTCGTTCTGGGTTCTCGATAGCTTAAGCCGGTTGCCTCGGGAGTGAGCTCGTGACCTTTACCGTGTTGCGTTTCCCCGAATTTGACTGATATCATTTAGAACCAAAGTGTGGGATGTTCATTCGTTCGGGTGATTTTTTCCGGCTCAGACTCTTTAAAAGGCGGAGGAAATCCCTGAACATCGCAAAATAAGAGAAAAAAAAGCAAGAACGTCTGGATTTCGTCAATTAAGGGGAATCACTTGACGCGGGGACGACACGATTGGTTCCACTCCCGGGGCGACGTTCGGCGTTGCCATCGCTCGGGGTGCTCTCTCGGTCGTAACAGTTTAAGGTGACGTGACCCGAAAAGCATCGAGAGTTATGGCCGTTTCACACGATGCGCCCCTCGCGTGCATCAGAGCGATGCGTGCAAACTCACACTTCCCGTGTTTGCGTGCCACGCAACTGCGTCGCCGACGGAACGCCGGTGCTTGTTATGACGGCATTTCGGCTTCGCTCTCGAACGGGCGAGGGCGTCCCGATTCCGCACGCAAGCCTTGGGTTTTTCCAAGGTCTTAGGACGGAAGTGGGCGTGTTATGAATGTATTGAATGTGGGGGGCAAAGGGGGCAAAGGGGGCAAAGGGGGGAATGGGGGCTGGCATGGGGGGATAAGTCAGCTCGATTTCGCCGATATTATCTGTAATTTTTAGAGAAACACGAAAGCTCAGAGTTCCGCGGGGATGAGATTAAGGCTATCGATTGCTATTAGGCTTTTCTTGTGCGGGAATCGCATGATGATCCTCTCGGGGGAAAAGGCTCCCGCCTTCATCGAGGGAAGAAAAAAAAAAAAATAGCGGAATTGTTCGGTGCGAAATCAGCTCGAAGAAAAGAAGTGGTGTTAATCGTATGCTCCCATCGATCGGCCCGGAATGGAATTCCGGAGATCCCCATTTTTGGGCGTCGACACGCCACGACAGGGCCTCGATCGAATCGCATCCACTTTTCGGAAGGAAATGGGAGACGGGCCTGGAAACTGCCTCCGGCTGATTGGACCGCAGAAAGGCCACTTAAACCGCCTAATCGCATTCCCGAGACGACAGAGCGATAAAGTCGAGGGAACTCACTGCATCTGACGGGAAGAAGCCGCGGCGGATTCCCTCCGAGTCGGCTGCAGGGAAACGACACGGGATTCACGGGAGGTCGAGTGCAGGCGAGAACGCGGCGGACGGACGACTGGACTCAAGGCTCCGAAGGCGAGGTAAGAGCGACATCTGTCGTATTGAGTATGAAGTACCGTCATTGTCAGCTTTCGCTAGAAGGCGGGTCGAATGAAAGCATGGCTGCCTCCTTCGAACACGTGTTAACCCCGTCCGCTGGGTCACTTCTATGGCTGCTCGCTTGTGCGTTGGTTTTCTCGTTCGAGTCGGCCCGTCGATTAGAAAATGTAGCGGTTTCAATTCAAGCATATGGTTTTGAGGTTCGGATAGTTTCCTCTGTGGTGTGCGGTCATTGCCCACATTAGCGCTGATGTTAGCCAAACTAGGCGAGGCCCAACGCTTATCGCCACTCTAAGCTGCAAACTTTTTTAAAACCCTTTTGTCGGTCCTATTCTCGTAACCAACATTTGTATGGCAAACTCTCGGGTGGAAAAGGCGTCATGTAAAGTTAAAACTAACGTTCCACCAAATTAAGGAATAGAAAGTTGGATTTCAGTTGGACACCGCATTGAATTACTGTCTCGCTCAATTCTCAGCTTTCCTCCCGGTTTTAAATAGACTCTCCAACAGTATTGTCGTGTATTTCATGCGAAATTGTGGCCAGCTATAACAGAAACATGGGAGGGAACTCCCATGGCTGTAGGTTCAAGTCTTTGAAGCAGGAGTAGCTTATTGCATAACCTATGTTCAAGAATCAGCCTTGTTCATTGCAGTCATTGTCATGTTATCAGGGAGTACATTTCAATAGGCACTGAGTCAACGAACAGGATGTAGTCATTGTTACTTTTTTTTTTTTAGCATATATGCAACTGATCAAGGAAACACCAAATCCATAGGTTATCCTGCTCTGGGCATGATATGATAGGCTCAGGATCATCGACATGGATAAGACTGCCTTGCCAAATCCAGAGATTATTGAGGGCTGGCTGCAATCAGAAGAGGTCAGCTACAACATGCCTGCTGGCCTCGAAAGAGAAGGTGGTATTGGACCATACAAGAAGGTGTCAAAGTGTTTCATTTCAGCATCTATGTTTTCACGCCTCTGCAAGCTCTGGCATTGAGCATTCGCAGATCCTCGATTTTCTCAAGGATCTGGAGAAGATTCCAAAGGATGTCATTCGTCTAAGCGACAAGCAATGCGGAAAGGCCTTGCTGTTGAGGCCAGAATTATTTCTTCTCCAGGAAGAGATGAACGAGTTACAAGCCTTGATAGCAGGTGAGGTGTCATTTCAAGCAGGAGCGACATGGTTGATTTTATTGCATGAAGTGATTGAAGCTCTCACATGTCTTTTCACAGACACATCAACAACAGAAGAAATGAGAAGACTTGCCAGAGAGGATATTCTGGATCTGAAGCAGCAATTGGATGCCCTTGAACAGGAGGTGAGAAGAAATCATCTGTCAGGGACATGCACAGAGAGGTTTAGGAGCTGCTTGCAGTCCAAATTTGAACATTGAGTTTTCCCTTCAGTTTGTCTGCTTTTCAATGTCTGGGTTCCTGCTCTGGATGAAGGATTTTTAAAGGATATTCAGAGGCACATCTACATGTGCAAGGTGGTCCACAAAAATGGTACCACTTACTGGGAATAAGCAGTAGAAGTTTGGAATATCAGGTCATACAGTAATGCCAAGTTTTATACAAAATGAAATTACATGTACATTTAAATGAGAACATAACCATATGTACAATGACATATTTTCCCACTACAGTGGTAACATTTTTTTGGAGTCACCCTGTACATGTCAGATGCAATTTGAACCTATCATATCAAATTTGTTCTTTACTATGCATTGTTACATTTTCAAGTGAGAGCATGGATGATATTCTTCTCCATTAGACCTTGTGGCTTCTGCCTACTATATAGTCATACAACAATAATATACTTTACATTAAACAGTATAAGGTATATATCATATATTCCAATATTTACTACTGCATCCCAGCCATTGATTTAGTTATTTATTTTCATCATCATAACCTTTATTTAGCAGCTGTACTCTATATGAATAATACATCCATCCTTTGGGGGAAAAAAGGGCAGAGGTTCCGTAGCTTTTGGGTTATTTGCAGATTTTATTGTTTCCTCCCACAGTTGGAAACTGATGGCTAACTTTTTTTCAGGGGTAAATCTAAAACATCAAATAAAGTAGTAGCGTTCACATTCTGTATCAGGCAACAGCTGTGCTGAGCCAAGAAGATGCAATATATCCTCAAGCAGCTGTACTGGAAGTTTCAGCCGGTGTTGGTGGCCAAGAGGCTATGATCTTTGCAGGTGAACTCTTCCAGATGTACGAGAGATATTCAGCCTTCAAAAACTGGAACTGGCTGATTGTGGATAAGGCTTCAACAGATTTAGGTAATTAGGCCTTTATCAGAATGGAAACCTTCAGTGCTGGGTGTCTTGAATCTTGAATCCTGATGGAAACAAGGTGGTTTGAGGAGAGGAGTGGCTGAAGTTGACGGCCCTGGTGCATATTCACTGTTGAGGCACGAGGCTGGAGTTCATCGCATTCAGCGCATACCGAAGACAGAAAAGGCTGGAAGGGTTCATACAAGCACAGCAACTGTTGCTGTTCTCCCTCAACCTAATGAGGTGAAACCCATAGCTGAACTGCCCCAATGATGCAAGAAATAAGAAGTTACCTTTTGTTGATACCAACATTAATTTTCTAAGCAGCTAAACTATTGTTCCCTAGAAAATAACTTGATCCAGGATCCTTACATCCCTCAGCTGTACACACTTCCAGTGTACATCACTGAGGGATATACGGCTTGGCTGTTCCAAAATCTTTTTGGAAAGGACACTGGCATGTCCACTCATGTTTTTAACCTCCAATGTTAACTGTGCTGGTTCCTCTCATGTAGAAATGACAATTTGTCTAGATAGATGTCTGCCTTCATGAAAAGGACCTGAAAATAGAAACCAAGAGAGCTTCTGGACCAGGCGGTCAGCACGTGAACAAGACCGACAGTGCTGTCCGCATCACACACCTTCCAACTGGTGAGCCATTGAAATCCTTAATTAGCATAAAATTTTATTGTCATCCCCAGAATTTTCCTCCACAGTAATCCAAGAAATGTTTGCTTCTTCATTTTAAAATCATGAATTTGTTTTGAGACTAGGATGTTACAGTCTGCAATCATAACATCTTTTGTATACAGGATTTGTTGTGGAATGCCAGACTCAGAGAGATCAACTGCAAAATCGTCAGCAGGCATTGAAGGTCCTCAGAGCACGCCTCTATGATTTGGAAATGAAGTCTCAGCAGGAACAACTTCTAAAAGCCAGGAAGTCCCAGGTAATCCCTATTTCAAAATGCCAGAACTCTTCCCATTCCTTCATATCAAGTAAGACATTTGAACTTTCCTCTCATCCAGGTGGGAACAAGAAGCAGATCTGAGAAGATACGCACCTACAACTTCCCTCAAGATCGTGTCACAGATCATCGTGTTGGAATTACTGCTCACAACCTCACAGGTTTCTTTGATGGGGAGTATCAGTTGGATGAAATGATACAGCACCATATCTTGCAAGAACAGAGTGAAACTTTCCAAGATCTCATGCACACATATGAGGCATGGAAAAAACAAAACTGAGACAAGAAATAAAAGAGCTATTTAGTGATCAAGATGATTTCCCTTTTATTGAAGTACTCTCAACAGCTTCCTGGAACAGAAATTGAAAGAGAAATCAGCAAAATGAGAACACCCTGTGAACAATAAATGGAAAAAGAACGATTTGTTATCGGGGTTTTCTCCCCGGTGGCGCATAGGTTGCCTGACCTCACTATGAAAGTGAGACAGGTGGATGGGATGCCAACCCCAACCAATGACACCCAGACTTGACAAGCTCCATCTCCACGTCTTTCCAAAGTTCACTCTCTTTGATTGCTTAGATTGACCATAACAGGTAAGATTTCAGACGTGTGGATCAGCTTGTCAAGAGTGGTAGTCTGACTCACGGGATTCATTCGTCAGGCACTTCGAGTTCACCATTGTTGACCATGTCGATAACATCATGAGGTGCTTTCCCTTCCACGGTGCAGCCCACAGACTAGAAAATAAAAACAGAGCAACAGTAACCAATAAAGAAATTTCCAACATGAAGAGATGCTTTGTAGACAAAAGTTCATCTGCTTAGATTTAAAAAATATAGAGGGTGAGCCAATGAAAGTAGATGGAAAATATATTTCTCTTCTATATAGTGGCTGAATGCTCACCTGGCATGTTCCCAGGATCTCCTTCACGGTCCCAGATAGGTATCGGGCCATGCTTCGCTCCCTCATGGATCGAGCGATGCCAAGAATCTCTTCAAATGTGATATTTCCACTGTGCTTGACTGCAAACAACATATGAACAAAAGACAATTACATATAACAGCACCATTGACTTACAAGCACAAAAATTAAAAACAAGAAGAAAAATCATTCATACTATTCTTTTGCTTTTTTCGATCCCTGGGTGGCTCTTTGAGGGCCTTGACAATGAGGGAAGCAGCTGATGGAACAACTGTGATTGCAGCCTGTCTGTTTTGAATAGTCAGCTTCACAGTGATATTCAACCCTTTCCAATCAGCAGTTTGCTTGGCAATATTATCTCCCACCATTTTTGGTGACTGAAATGAAGAATGAAAATCAAAATGGGTCGCAGAGATACCACACAGAGATGCTGAGAAATTTTCAAAGAATAACTGGGGCAAACTCAGGGTGGGACAGTTATAACTGCATATAGCTGATTAAAATTCAACAATCATTCAAGTTGTTTAGAACTATCAGAAATGAGGCTACAATACTGAAACCTCACTCTTAAGATATAGTTTGATCATGACATGAGACAAAGCCCACCCAGTAATGGCTACCTCAAGGCATCACCACCTATGTCCTACAGGTGTTAAAACCCCCTATATGGAAATGACAGGTCTCAGAAACATGAAAGTCCCTTTCTTTAGTCCTAATACCTATCCTCTGATCCAAATGTTAGGCCTACAGGTCTAATTTCATTTCTCACATCTGCACCTCCAACTTGCACATCTAATTAAGAGGGACACCAATTTCAATCTGAGATTGAACACAGAGGATGGCATGTACTTAGGCACAGCATGGCTGGCCTAAATTATTGGAATGTTCTCATGCTCTGCCTAATTGTGAAGGTGTCATGGAAAAAATGAGAACCAGAGTACCTTCAGTTGATTATATGCAAATTGGCCCCAGACACACTTCCAAGTGAGGGTCCAACACACATATATGTATATTTATCCATATATTATATCTTTTCCAACAAGGGACAGAATGTGTTCAACAGTGCATTCAATATGTTGTCTGGTGAGATTTACATTAAGTTCAAAATTAAAATTTGCAACAAATTACCTGACTGCCACATAATAAAAAAATATTTTGTGGAGTTGAATATGATCAGACTCCTAGAAGAATTTAGTATCAAGAAAATAATTTTACTCCGATGTGAAAATAGGATAAATGTATCATTGAAAGAAATCTAAAAATTGGACTCTACAAAAAAACTTATCACCAGATGAGATATTTTGAGATTGATAGGAAACAGTAAGGAAGGAGAAGATGTCCTTCCATTGCATAGATATGAGGTATCAGGGTAAATGTCAGGTAACTGGAGCTTTTTATTCAGATATCAGATTTCATTTACAAAGTATTCAGATGCAAACGTACCATGACAGAAAGATATCCACTTACTCATAGCAGAATAGGTTCTTACATCTGAATTATGCATGAAAATGATGATGCCCAAATAACAGATCCAAGGCCTGCCTGTACAACTGCTCGAGCAATCATCATAGCACTATTTTTTAAACCCAATGCCCCTCATCCAACATGGTGACTCTTACTTTCCTGCAAAAACATTTTAGTGGTTTTGTTCCCTCTCTAATTTCAAGCCTGTGAAATCTGAACAAGACTACCCTGATTATTTGAGCTATTTTAGATATTGAAAGGCCTACTGTTCTGGGTGACAAAATTATGCTTTCAGTTGTTTCAATTAATATTTTTCCAATGTTTTTATACAAATGAATAGTAGTCATGCAGTAAGTTATGCAGAAAGGCTACAAGTTAGGATTAAGAGTCAATCATCTAATTTTAAAAGTAATGAATGGGCTAACTTATGAATTTGGGAAAAAAAATACACCATATCAAGCATTAATCAATGTGGAGAGACATATCTCATCCCTGGGTCATTTTTCATCATCTGTACATGGATGAAGCAGTTTAAAAACAAGGTCATAATCACAAGTGCAACACATTTACCTCATCCGAGCTCTAAGGCTCAACAGCTAGGGCTCAAAATTTCCATACAAGCAGAACTCGATCCAACTAGACGGCTGCGATAACGCCTCTACTATAAAAACCATTTGAAAAAAGATGGGGGCTAGATAGGCCTACGATGAATAAACACCGAAACGTCAATACTTACCAGGCCCAAAGGCCCAATTTTCGGGGCCAGGGCCGCCGTCGCTGCCACCTCTCCACCGACGCATCGCAAGTAGACTGGAAGAACGAAGAAAAAACGTTAGACCGATTACCACCAAAGAGAAATTAATTCGGGAGGGCTTGTCAGATGTCGATGAAGAAAGACTCACCGATTTTCACCTCGTTGGGATCGAATTTAGGAGGCATTGTGCCGGATTTGCAAGCCGAGACGGTCGAAGCGTGTCGTTCGGCACGGGAATGGAGGACGAAAGGGAAGTGATGAAGCTGTCCGACTGCAACGACATCTACTCTATTTCCCTGGCTTCCTCCGTTGCCGTAGTTCCACTTCTACACGATAGAGAGCGGGGACGTCATTCCAGGAGCTTCTTAGCGGGTCCGTTAAGCCTTCGTCGCAAATCGCATAACCAGTGCTTTGTTGGCCGTGACAAGAGCGGGAATCAGTGTTCTCGTTAGGGATAATTGCGTCTAAAAGCCGTCAGCAGCCCTTCGATTACTCCCAACGCTCAGAGGCCTTCTGAATGTCTCGGAGTTGAAGCGACTTCCAGGGTGAGTCGAAACGATTTGAACGTGAAGAACTTCTCGAGGCTTGATCTCATCGAGATGCTGCTACGTCATTCGAAAGAATAGACCATTCTGTGTCGAATGGAGGAATTTTGCATCGTTTTGCTAATGGCGTCATTCGAAAATTAAATTTCCAATCTGGGGGTTATGCGTGAAAACACGCTTGTTCCGATTTGTTCGAGTTATTGTGCCTTGGCTGGGATCGATTCCAATTCATTGCGGATTGGAAAAAGTGGCTGATAAACGACTGACCATTGATGATCGATTTGCAAAAAGTTCGGCTTTGCTCCGAACGCGACGGAACCCGCTCCCAGGACGAAATTGATCGGAGAAAACAGACAGATTTTTGTTTGACGCGAGAATAGGGAATTCATTTCCGAAGGATACCATAGGAAAAATAATGCAAAAATTCTTCCTCGTATATAGAATTGTCTTGCCTTTCGAATTGTGAAGACCGCATCTCCACGAGATCAAGCGTTAAGAAGTTATTAACGTTTAAAAGGTGGGCAGGACTTTTGACTCGCCCTGAATACTAATTAATAATGAATTTTCCTGAATAATAATGAACTTCCAAATATTTTTGTATCTGTCCTTCATGCACGTCTATGCCTCTGTTCCCAGTCCGACCAAGCTTTGCATGGCTTCCTCATTTGGTCCGGGGATGGTCAACAAAAATTCATTTCTTTCGTGCATACGGCATTTTGTTTGTCATGCTCCAATGCACTTTTGTTGCACTTCGGCCATTCTTGGGGAAGCACGTGTCCCTTTTCCCCTATGGGTTCAGACCTGTGCATATCGTCTGCACTCTGTCGAATGGAATTCCTCCCGATGGATCGAAGGCGATTTGCACGAGACAAGAGGCTTTATTCACGCTTTCCACGAAACAAAAATGAACAGAAAACACACTTGAGCTGCTGGGGCAGAAGAGTGCCATTTAACCCTTCAAGCGCTGAGTTTTTTCTCGACTTCCTAAGTCATGATCGTACGGTGTACGTGAAAACGGCTTGAAGGGTTAAATTCGAGTGCAAAGATGAATGGAATCTAGCATTCGAGTGCGAATATACAGGGTGTGGCGAAAGTAGGTATACAGTAGTAATTGTATTTTATTTCTTTATTTACAGTTCGAGGATAATGGCAGGGAAGCTGGCTTCTGATCAATGAAAATAGCCGTTACAGACGTACTGGAACAGTAATTTAAAAAAAGTATATTTTCATATAAATATTTATATTATTAATTTCATGTATGAAAATATACATGAAATATACATCAATACAAAGTCATAGGGAATAAATAACTAACTGTACCTACTTTTGCCACACCCTGTATTTATTTTTCGTGTCTATCTCGGGTTGTTCAACAGGTACCTCCTTACTTTCTACTAGAGGCACATCAGCATCCTCCTCTTGGGCTGCTTAGGCCCTGGCCCCTTCCCTTGCAGGCGGAGCGGCCCCTTCCTGTCCAGAGGGGGCCCCTTCTCGCAGAGCAGCGACCCCGATATCGCTCGGCCCTCGCTCCACGTCACGTAAAAGGGCCTGAGGGGAAAACAACAGGAACTCGATATGTTGAGAGGAAAATTATTGGTTGCAATCGCCTTATCTAACGTCCAAACTCTCGTTTCGAAAGCGGTTCGTGGAAAATGAAAGGGGGAAAACCTCTTCCAATAGTTTCCAGTTTCTCATCAGAAAGAGAGTGCAAATTTGCGACTATAACGAACCGATAGGTGTTAGGAGAGAGTCCGAGAGACTGCAAGGGATTCCATGACACGAGAGTCATGTTCACCGTGGGTCCCACCATCGAGTTCGTCCAACGGCAAGCCGTCACCGTGCAATCTGCCCCATCCCCCAAAACCATCAGACGAAAGTGAAAAAAAAATGAGAGAGAAAGGGGGAATGCTGACCGAGGACGAGGGCGTTGGAAGAGAAGTCTGCCGTGGAGCCGGTGAAGGCCTGCTCCTCCGCTGAGCAGAAGCGCACCTTCCTGTGCTCCCGGCTCCCCAAGTGGTCGCAGAAGGTGTGGGTGCAGTGGCCGGTGCGGGGAGGCAGGCGGCCCTTGACGGTCCGACGTTGTCCAGTATCCGTAATCGTCACGGACTCCTTTCCCAAAGCAGCGCTCGAACGAATGCAGACGGAGCGAGAGAGTGTGGAGCTCCGTGCCCCTGCTGGGGGTCCTCAAAAGATTTCCTCGAACGTCAAATAGGTGGACTGGAGTCGGACTTCTCCTCTGACCTCTTTCGTGGACAAACTCAGAGAAAGATAGACTTGTGCTATGCGACGCGATCAGGACAGACAGCGTCTACGCTGTGACCTTGCTTTGAAAGCACTCCCTCAAATACTGCCATCCTTCCTCGACCAATAATATACAGTGGTACCTCGCATAACGAATGCAATTCGTTCCAGCGGTGCGTTCGTTATGCGAGGTGTTCGCGAGTGAAAGTGAAACATTTTTTCCTAATTAATAACGAACACCTCGCATAACGAACGCACCGCTGGAACGAATTGCGTTCGTTATGCGAGGTACCACTGTATTCATATATATTATGGGCAGGGCAAGGGTCTCAATCTCTGCCTTTTCCTCCTCCACCCCTCCCTACCCTCTCTCCCCCACATCCGTAGCGTCTGCCCTTGGGGCTGCTTCGTTGTCTCTCCTTCGCTGCATCTCTTGCCCATTACACTTTCCTCTGGTTTGTGATAGCAAACGGCAAGAGAATCGCGTGATCGTGCAAATCTTTGCTTTCAGCTCGTACCAAGGGAACTAAAAGGGGAACCATTCAACTGCGAGAAAATCGTCGCGACCGTTGGGCGGAATTTCAAGCAATGAATGAGGAAATACTGTAGTTCTCGATTTCCATTCAGGCTCTGGGAGAGTGCGAGACTTCTCGGAATGGTCTATTATCGAGGCGGGAATTTTCGCGTTCACGCATTAGCGCGTCCGGCAGAATGTAACTACTGCGAAAAAAAAAACAAGAACCGGCGAATCTGACAAGAGGAGCAGGTTTTCGCCATCCGAGACGGAAACTCACAGGAAGGATACGGAAAGCCTCGGGAAACCTGACAGAGAGCGGCCATGGGTCCGATTCCGGGGTTCGTCGTCGTATCCGTCGCCGCAGTCGTTGTGGAATTCGTCATCGAAGTCGTTGAATTCGTCATCGAAGTCGTTGAATTCGTCATCGAAGTCGTTGAATTCGTCGTCGCAGTCGTTGTTGCATTGCCGTTGCACCCGACGGAGCCGACTCGGAGCATCTCGAAGTCATACACCAACACCAGGCACGATCGGCTCGGCGGAATCCCCGCGATCCCCCAGGCATAGGGGTCGAGGGGAGAGCCGTCGAACCAGGACCAATTGCCGGTCGGAATCGTCCAGCCTCCCAACGCCAGCGGGTTTACCATTCCTGTTCGATCGTAGGGGAATAATGTTAGGAATGAGTCGTTTCCAACGAATCGCAGACTTTGCGAGTCGAGACGAAGCCGTTCCCAATTTTTCCAACTTCAAAATTCGACTTCGAAATATTCGCTGCAGATTTATTTCCGGGTTCGACGACCTAAGAAGCTGTTGAGAGGCGCAACTGAGCGAGTTTCACTCCCACTTCAGGCGATTACTTCCTCGTCCGTTCGTGCCATGCCTTCTGGATGCGAACGTCTAGGAAAATTGGTGTCTCTGAGACGCCGGTTGGCTTGCAAGAACGTATAAAACTGATAAAATAGCTATTTTGGGGAGTTTCATAGGATACGTTTTTTAAATAGGTTTGATGAGTGCAGAAACATTTTATGCCCATCAAGATAGGTCAATTGGACAATTGGAAGCCATTCATTCAATGGCTTCGTACTCGACAATCTGCGGTCCTCGCAGGACCTGAACGATGCGACATTTAAGAATTTTTCGGTGGCAGACGGCTACTTCGGTTTATGATGGGTGTTGCTCTCCGAATGAAAGAAGCGTCTACGAAGATCGAGGAATTGCCGACTAGCACTCAGAAGTTAGGAAGCTGCGTTCGTACTGCCTGTAAGCAATGCAAGTAACCTAAGAAACATCGACCGATATTTGTGACGAGCAGTCGAACGATATGCCACCAAGGCGCGTCAGTGAATACATGGGTTTAACTGTATTGACCGTGCCTGAATCCTGGTCAAACGAGCACGATCGCTGAATTTTTCGTGTAACTTTTCCATCGATACACGTTGCAATCAAGACTTATCGAAGGACGTACCGTAAATACGAACGAGCGATCGGACCAGTCACCTTACCTTCCATTCCCACCAAGTAGATGGCACCAATCAGAAAACACAAACCCAAAGTACAAATCAAAATCCAGATCCCGCGATGACGTACAGCCTTCCGATTGGTTCCCATTGGTTCCACTTCGGAACCAATGGGATGCCTCCTACCCCAAATGCGCCACTCGCGCAGACCGATCGATTCGCTCTCGAATGGATCCTCACCTGCGAGGGAAAAGACTCGGGCCATGTCCACTTGAGGGGTCGTGTCGTTCAGGGAGACGAGGGTGGACGATCGTTGCATGCAGTAGAGGGCAGCCTCGGTCCACGTCTGGAATACGAGGTCCGGTGAAGCGAGGTAGCAGTTCCCTGCTTCTGGGACCCACTGGAAATCCGGGGGACACGTCGCCGTCCATTGCTCTGGGGGATTGGTAAAACTCGTTCGTTTTTCGGAGGCAAAGGAATTGAAATGAATTAGGGGGGGGGGGGGAAATATTGGCGTATGTTCAATGATTCCCTTCGTAGACAAAATATGGAAATGTTCATACTCCAAGGGAACGTGATCTGCACCCAGAGAGGAAAGATATTTGTGGGACTAAGGATTAAACACACTTCTGTAAACGAAATCAAAATCGAAATCACCCCAAAATCGCGATTGCCAAGAACGAAAAAAGAAGTCAGCCAAAATTCACACTTCGAATCGAGATGTCGCTTCGAACAACGGAAGGAGATTACTCACCACCTACCTCTTACAACCTCTTCCCCTCTTCGGTAGGGGAGAGGCGAAATCCCATTCCTCACTATTTTTCCTATTTATTGGTACCTCTCCCCCCACCAGAAAGCACGAATGCATTCTCACGCCTGCCAGGCCGGACGCGCGCGTCCGCGTCCGACCCCTCGAAGAGCCCGTAGTCGGTGACCACTCCCAGCGTCGAGTACCAGCTGATGTAGTCCAACCAGGCAACTTCGTTCCGCCACCACTGGCAGCAAATGATCACCTGGGTCCCCGACACCTTCACGTAGAAGGTCTTCCACAGCCCCAATGGGGAGATTTCCGTGCTCTGCAAAGATTTCGCAGGGAGATTCTCTAACGCTTTTTTTATGACCTCCCAGTAATTATTAATTAGCATTAATATTAGCATTAATAATAATTAGCATTATTAACAGTAAGTAAAATTACTGAATTTCAACGGGTGAGGAAGAATCAGTCGAAAACTGTGCCAAGCACTACCCCGAAATCACCCGAATGTTTTCAACGATAGCGATTCTTCGTGCACAAGATGTAAAAATTATACTCGTTTTTAGATTCGATTTAAGCAGATACCAAAAGGAGCTTTCAAACCAACTTAATAAAATTACGGCATTACCGTAACTGCGAAGAGTTTTTGAAACCTGAATCATATCGCGTCGAACTGCAAGACTTCCAGACCGCCTGAGTGGAATCGCGAAACGACTGAATGTCACGACCGAAACCCAAAGGTTTCCCAAAATGCATCTCATTTCTCATATCTTTGCATAGCATATTTAGCGCTATTTCACAACCATCTGAGGAAAGCATAACTCACCTGATAGGAGAGGCAGCCGTAGGGAACCCCAGAGAGGCCACTGGGGACATTGCAGAGGGTGATGGCGTCGGGCCCGATCGAGATGAGGACCAGGGTGCTCGCCTTCGACGTGGGCAAGGTCACGTTCAGTCCGGCGGCGTCGCGTCTCATCACGTCCAGCCGGAATCTGTTGCTCCCCAGCGTCGCGTTCACGGTCGCGTTTTCACTCAGGTGGAGGGTCTCGTTATCTGCGACGGGAGAGAAATCGGCGTGTCGGCATCCTAAACTGCATCAGGCGCGAGCCAATGGCAGAATGTAAAGTCTTTGATATCCGAATATGTTTCCTTACATTATGACATCGAACCCTCGTTTCAAACTGGTGGTCTCAAGGTTTCACTGGAAAGTTTCAGCTCAAGTCACAACGACGAACTTCTTAAATAATTTCTACGGTTAAAAATGATGAGAACACAAAACGTCTCACTCAGCCAGCGGATGCAAAAGGGAGAGGATGTGACGAAGGGATAATGCCAAAAATCCGGATCAGGTTGACAGGTGCAGACACCGTTCACGTATCTCGTTTCCTCCCGCAACATCAGGCACTCCTCGTTCACCGTGCACGTCTGCCCCAGCAACAGGCCTGGTAGAAGAAGAACGAAATGAGCGAAGAGGGAACGAGAGGGAAGGTCGGATGGGAGTGGACCGACCGCAGTTCCAGCTGCATCTGCCCTTCTCTGTGCAAGCTGTGGTCGAGTAGAGGGGGCTCCCCGATTCCTGCAAGACGAAGGGAAACGAGGGTCAGTTGGCGACGCGGATACCTTTTACAGATTCAAATAGATTGTAATTTGCATCGAATGCGTGCGACCCGTCATGTGTGATCCGTCATGGTCATCTTCTTACAGAAGAAACCAGAGTATTAAAATGAAGGAAAAGTATCGTGCAAAAAAAAACAACATTGAAATGGGATATCAGAATGAAACGAATAACTGGAAATCAAAATCGTCTTCTTTGGGATCTAGGAAATCTACGCGAGCGAAGCGGACAAGCGTACGTAGGTCAGCTTCGAATTGACGTAGTAGTCGAAATAAGAGCAATCGGGATCCGGATCGAGGCGATAATTGGGGGAGTCGCAGAGTCTCTCGGGCAGGAGCTGGCATTGCCCCAGGTTCGGACAGTGTTGATAAGCCCGACACTGCCACTCTTTGGAGCAGGAGACGAGGCAGCGGACGGTGGTCATGGGACCTGTACCGGGCAGGGCCTCGACGATCTTGAAGGGGGTGATGCCCAAGAGGCGTCGGTTCTCGCGGTGCAGGGAGGTCCCGCGGTACACGTCTCCGCCGCCCGCGTAGGAGCGCAGGCAGACGACGACGATGACGTAACGAATCGGGCACATCCGCATCTTCTCTCGACGACGGCTTCGCCGAGAATGGGGTGGCGATTCTTCGGCGTATCCTGGGTTTGGCGATTTTCTCGTCGATCCATAATCGTGGATGCATTTCCGGTGGTCTAGTCATTGCAGAGTCCATTTGTATTTCTCGCTTATTTTCCTTTCACGATCGCAAAGGTACGCAAAGGCACCACGCTCTCATTATCCCAAAACATTAGCCGGTGAGTCGCGGATGGCACGATCTATCATCGGCGTCCGCGGTCGATCTCCGTTATTACCGCCTTTTATGCCGTACCCTTTTTTTCCGCCTTCGTCCGAAGATTGTGAGAACGGAACAGGTGAACTCGATGGCGATGGTGTCGCTGGCGAAATGAATCCGCGAATCCCCTGATCGCAGGGGAAATATTAATATACATTCTGCATGACCTTCCATTACACGGCCGGGAAATAAACCTAATACGATGATTGATGAGGTCGACCCCAATAAAGGGGCGAATCCATTTTTTCCTGACAGGGAGATGAATTAATTTTGCACAAAATTGCCAATTGCGATCCTGAATACGAGCGACAGTGATGCAGCGAGGTCATGGTGAATTAGGAAAAAAAAAATGTTTGAGGCACTTCTCCGTTCGAATTTAATGTATGAATCGAGTACCTCAGATTTCTTTTGAAAATCCCTCAACAGGTAGATTCGTTCAGTCGAAGAGACAAAATCCGGAATCGCGGAGACACAGGAGACCTCGTTTATAGGAACATCACGTAGAGCGTACGGTGCAGGTGGAATTTCATTTCCGACCACTGATGAGAGTACCTGTACTGGTACTTTCAGCTTTTGTCACTGGCTTGCATTTAATTTTTTTTATTTATTTCAAATATCGAAAAGGGGAGAAAATCACAGAATGTCACAGAACATGGCGCAGAATCGTTCTTTGTAAAGATAATAATGGTGCACAATCAGACGTGTTTGATGCGTGTTTGATGTAATGATAACAGGTACATGTAATGTAATTACGTTTCATGTAATGCGACAAAAAAATGTAACCGCTATACAGATATATCCTAAATTACACCGGGGTAACAAGAAATCGTGGACACGCTGTAGATACTGCGTGATTCCATAAGTTGGGAAACCGTCATCCCGCAAGGATGCAGGCTCCTCGAGATCCTCTGCCGAACGAGCATTGAATTAAACGAGAATTAGAAATACATTAATTTCACATGATCTAAGTACATGATAGATGAAAGTTAAAAATTAAATTAGAAAGATAGATGCGGTTCTGCTTCGGTGAAGTTGTGAAACTTGGAAGGGGGCCGAGGGTCGCGACACTTTTCGCGGTTGGACGCGCACCTCTACTCTCCCTCGAGGATTTAAAAAGGAACGATCAATTTCCACTCTGCTTTAATGGGATTTCGATTCAAAGATTAGAGGGTGGGGGTGCTTTTGACTGAATGCGTCAAGATTAGCAACTGACTCCTTTTGGGACATCAGATCTCATTTAGCCACAATTATTACGGTTTGTAGGCGTACAGTAAAAATGTATAAGGAGAGGTACAAATGTGAGACGGACATATTTTGCTTATAAGTTTCCCAACTTGAACCTCCTATACTCTTCGCGGTTCACGTGACAAGAAGATGGCGCAACGGTGATCCCGACAGTGGCTACCCATGCATTCACTCAGATTTTTATGAAGCTCGCAGCATTAGCTCTAAGTATTAGGTTGGCTAATAAGTCTTTGCGTTTTTTTTTCTCGATAACTTCTCACGTTGCAGCGTCTTTTTGAAAATGTTACGAAATGGTTCGGAGGTCTAGATGTTAGATTTCTGTTATTTTTGCGGTAACCTTTTTTGCTTTTAGGTCTACGACAATGGATCCAGAAAAGACCTATCACAGACACTATCAGATTCGCCCAGGGACACTCAGCAGCGGCAGCAGCCAGGAATATCTGTCAGGTGATAGGTGAGGGGGTTGTCTCTCCGCGCACGTGCATGTACTGGTTCGATCGGTTCCTCTCTGGCGACTACTCTGTGGAAGACAGACCCCGTTCCGGACGACCAGTTGAGTGCAATGTGGACGAGTTGCATCGGCTGGTGGAATCCGACCTCCGTCAAACCACTCGCTGTTTGGCCTTATCACTCGGGTGCACCCATGGAACCGCGGATAGACGCCTCCACTCAATCGGCAAAGTGAATAATTATGGATCTTGGGTACTACACCATCTCACACAGAGAGACATCGATTTGCGCGCCGAGACCTGTGCTCTTCTTTTGAGCAAATCTCGCCCCATTTCGATCAAGTCGTTACAGGAGACGAGAAGTGGGTCCTCTACGTAAACCATAGTAGGAAGCGACAGTGGGTTGTGCGTCACAACAGCAGCCGGAACCGGACGTCAAAGGCGAACTTCACCCGCTTTCGGTTTGGTGGGACATTCGCGGCGTGATCCACTACGAGCACCTCCCAAATAATATGACACTGTCAACTCCTACTGCCTCCATCTGGAAAGACTCAAGTCCGCACTCGATCTCAGACGTCCAGGGCTCGACAAAGTCTACATGCTGACATGATTCCCCTGACATAGCTCCTTCCGACTACCATCTCTTCCGTGCCCTGCAGCATCATTTGGAAGGGAGGAGCTACGACGATCGACAGGCACTCGAGACTGACCGCGAGTTCTTCGAATCGAAGCCTGCCGCCTTCTACAGGGATGGGATCCACGCGCTGCCTATGAGATGAAGACAGATTGTGGATGGTGATGGGGCATATATTATTGACTGAAGGTATCTCAATTAATAAAAATATAAATAATGTTGATCGAGAAAAAACGCTTCGGCCTTTCGTTCGTTTGCGGTGTACGTGGTCATTCGCCGGTAGACGAAAATGGGTCACACTGGGCGCATTCAGTTGTGTTATGACTATTCTCGGCAGGTATGACGCTTAAAAAAAAGATATTATACCCAGGATTGACAAGAGTACATTATGGAGTACAATTTATTTAGAAGCCTCAATGCAGGCGTAGAACGGAGTCGTGACACGGGTCCCAACTGAACGCGCCCACTATATGCGAGAGGCCATTCAAAAATCCTGGGAATATTTGGAACCATTTTTCAGAATTACTTGTAATCACTGTATATTCATGTCCCATAGTCATAGAAAAGTTTACTTTTACTTTAAAATTATGCAACTGGAGACTGGTACATGTCGATTATAATGAAATGGATCTCACTGAATTCACGATGAGGGGATTCCAACATTTCTGCCCATTATTACCCAGCATCAGCTGGGCATTACTTTCCTCAGCGTCATATCCCACCCAATAAAAGTATGTAGTCTAAAGGGTACTTTACGGACAGCTCCGAATACGACTGACGAGAGTGAAGTACATTCTCCTCCTGACTCCTCGGCTCCTCCCGAGTCGACTCGTGAGGGTCCCGACCTAGAGAACAGGCAGCGATAACGGCACTAAGACGAACACTCAATAGGGCTACTCCAGTGACTCGAATTCCACTGACTCTCCGGTTGAGACATCCTCGGTTCCAGTGGCTAAAGATGGCTCCAGGGGAGTTCAGGAACAGGAAGCAAAAAGAAAAATGGAAAGAACTCACCAGACGTAGATCTTGAGGAAGAGGAGAGCTGAAGGGACGGACGATGGGGTCTGTACAATTAGCAGAGGAAAGCAACGGCTTTTATACCCAGTTCTTGCCTCCGGATGGGCGGCTCCACCTCCCACACACCCCCCACCCCCGCCCCCTTCCACCTTTCCGCCGATCCTTATCTCACTTCCAACGGACTTCCCACTCAGACGGAGAAAATGCATTGACTCGCTTTGAAACATGCAACTGTTTTTTTTTTTTTTCCCCGCGATTCGCGGGTGCAGTTTCCGCACTCGCGGAAACAGAATAACAGAGCGATATCAAAGGAGAAAAACATTACAGTTTTTCTAAGGAGGCACCTAGTTCTGTCTCAAGAGCGACACGCATACGAGAAAGCACCAAGGGCTTTCGTGAAATAATAAGCAAATTTCACATTACATTAGCTTACTCTTCATTTCTTTTTCGGAACGCTTCTTGCCAGAATATTCTTTAGACTTCCTTGTTGGAGTCAGTAACATTTTTATGAAGTGCTGGAAACGGGTACTGCCAGGGCATGTGTCTTGGGCATGTGTCACATGTGCCCCCCACAGGGCACAAAATTCACCAGGGGCGACAAAACGTGTCAAAATGAACGAAACAACAATGGATGCCACCTTCAGTTTTACTTCAGAAATTGGAAATGTCCTCCGTTCCGGCGTCTATAAAGAACGCTAGGGATTGGCTCTTCTCCCTTCAGAGGGGACGAGGAATGTGTTTGGAATGCAGCTGGGAATGCTCAGGGCGCCGAAGTAGCTCGAGCAGGCCCTTGGTACTGGCATGAGAAAAGTCTGGGAGAATCTTGTCTGCAAGTGCTCTAGTCTACATGGAATTCCCCGCTCACACAATGATTCGGCGCATGCGCAATTCCTACCTAGGCCAAGTCATCCATGGCTTAGCTTGCTCTAATCCACTGGAAGCGGGATGGAAGACCGAGGAGGAAAGGGCAGTCTAGCCTCGAAGCGAATGAACTGGGGCTTAGGCAGAGCCGGATTAAGGGGGGGGGGGGGGCATGGGGCTTTTGCCCCATGCCCCACTTTTCCAGGAAGGGCTCCTGAAGGAAATTAAAAACGAAGTATTTGCATCAAGTAGCAGAAGTTTCAAATCAAAATTCAATCACCAATCAAAATTCACCAAAAAAAAAAATCACCAGCGCTCGACTGTGCGACTCCTCAAGACTACTTGCAACACCAGGTAAAATGTCTCCGGAGGAGCGGGCCCAAGACCTCTGCTTGCCCCGGGCCAAGCGACTTCGGCCTAGGCCTGCGAGAGGTGGCCTGAGTGCTACGTTGCCAAACCCATGCAGCGTTGCCAGATGTTCTTCTACGCCGCACTCCTCTAACGAAATGGAACCGTACTAAGCTGGATTTCCAGTCTCGATCACGCG